GGCATCTCAGTATCTTCTGAAGAGCAAGTAAGATCAGCTTGGCTACTTGATTACCTCCACTCTGAGGATGGAGAAGGGATTGGCCACCCTGACTCAAAACCAGGAGAGCTTGGAGAGGATCATGGAGCAGAAGTTCTATGATTTAGATGTGAAGGTCACAGAGATACAATCAATTGTTGAGCAACTTCAGGATGAAGTGCAGGAGAAGAAGGGCAAGTCTACCACTAATGCTTTTGCTAGAGTGCCTAGAGGACAGAGATCTGCTGCAGTGCCAGTTACAGACACCAGAGCAACTTCATCTGCACCAGCTACAGCTTCAGTGCAACCAGCTCCAGCACCCACTCCACCAGCTCCATCTACATCAATTGATGCCTTCGTCCTTGGAGTTTTATCTACACCACTACCTGAAGACCAAGCCTGAGAGTCGATCTAGCACTATGCATTTTTTATGAACTTTTTGGTAACTTGTTGCCAAAGGGGGAGAAAATGTATAGATCATAGGCTTCGAGAGAGAGTGTTGCTCTTTGTTCTCTCTTGTTTTTTTTGGTGGTTGAACTTTGTTATTTGCTTGTTTGAGATACTTTATGCTTTTGTGTGATACTTGGATGATCATGTGTTTGATCATATGCTACCTTAATGCTTGTTGGATGACATTATCCTTTTATATCCCCATATGATCATTCACTTTGCTTGGTGATGAGTGCATGTACTTAATTATTATCATTTTGAGCGACCAAGATGTATGTGACATGGAAGAGTAACCCATGATCCTAACTCATTGTGCATTTGCAGTCCAAAGCAAATCTTAAACTATGCACAAATTTAGGGGGAGCTCTTGCTTTTCACATACTTCTCAAAGCGACAACGTTTTTCATTCTTATTATCATTTGTCGAAGCTTTGATCTATATGTTGTCATCAATTACCAAAAAGGGGGAGATTGAAAGTGCAACTATCCCTAGGTGGTTTTGGTAATTCCTAACAACATATAGCTCATTGAGCTAATGCTATTTCAAGATTAATATTTCAGGAAAGCTCAATGATTGGCATGGCATGGATGAGAAAAGTGGACCCCTCAAAATGCTAAGGACAAAAGGATTGGCTCAAGCTCGAAGCTCAAGACTCTACATTTTCTATCTTAGTGATCCAAGATCACATTGAGTCTATAGGAAAAGCCAATACTATCAAGGAGGGATGAGGTGTTGCTTAATGAGGCTCTTGCTCAAAATGCTTAGTGATATGCTCCAAAGCCCTCAACTACTTTCTCACATCCACATATGACCTAAACCAAAAGTCAAACTCAGCCCCACCGATTCTTTCTATCCAACGCCACCGAGTTCAGATGTCATAGCCACTGCCACAAACCCTAGGCAAATTGCTCTCACCGATAGGGATCTCGGTCTCACCGAGATGGGATTGTAATCTCTCTGTTTCCCTTCGTAACGTTTCGGTCCCACCGAGATGAGAGATCGGTCCCATCGAGATTGCAATGTAAACTCTATGTTTTCCTTTCGTAACATTTCGGTCTCACCGAAATGAGCGCATCGGTCCCACCGAGTTTACCTGACCAACTCTCTGGTTAGCTTATTACCAAAATCGGTCTCAGCGAGTTTGTGTAATCAGTCTCACCGAGATTACGTTATGCCCTAACCCTAACCATATCGGTCCTACCGAGTTGCATGTCGGTCCCACCGAAAATCCTAACGGTCACTAGATTTGCTGAATCAGTCCGACCGAGTTTATCAATTCGGTCCCACCGAGATTGGCAAGTTGTGTGTAATGGTTAGATTTTGTGTGGATGCTATATATACCCCTCCACCTCCTCTTCATTCGTGGAGAGAGCCATCAGAACGAACCTACACTTCCAACTTATCTTTTCTGAGAGAGAACCACCTACACTTGTGTTGAGGCCAAGATATTCCATTCCTACCATATGAATCTAGATCTCTAGCCTTCCCCAAGTTGCTTTCCACTCAAATCTTCTTTCCACCAAATCCATATCCTGTGAGAGAGAGTTGAGTGTTGGGAGACTATCATTTGAAGCACAAGAGCAAGGAGTTCATCATCAACACACCATTTGTTACTTCTTGGAGAGTGGTGTTTCCTAGATTGGCTAGGTGTCACTTGGGAGCCTTCGACAAGATTGTGGAGTTGAACCAAGGAGTTTGTAAGGGCAAGGAGATCGCCTACTTTGTGAAGATCTACCGCTAGTGAGGCAAGTCCTTCGTGGGCGACGGCCATGGTGGGATAGACAAGGTTGCTTCTTCGTGGACCCTTCGTGGGTGGAGCCCTCCGTGGACTCCGCAGCCGTTACCCTTCGTGGGTTGAAGTCTCCATCAACGTGGATGTACGATAGCACCATCTATCGGAACCACGACAAAAACATCCGTGTCTCCTATTGCGTTTGAATCCTCCAAACCCTTCCCTTTACATTCTTGCAAGTTGCATGCTTTACTTTCCACTGCTCATATACTCTTTGCATGCTTGCTTGAATTGTGTTAAGATTGCTTGACTTGTCCAAAGTTGCTAAAATCTGCCAAGAACTAAAATTGGGAAAAGGATAAGTTTTATTTGGTCAAGTAGTCTAATCACCCCCCCCCTCTAGACATACTTTTGATCCTACACTTAGTTACGGGATGATGCATTACGGAACAAGTAAAGAGATTTGCCAGTAACGTGATTGAACTAGGTATGATGATACCGACAATCGAATCTCGGGCAAGTAACATACCGATGACAAAGGGAATCACATATGTTGTTATTGCGGGTTGACCGATAAAGATCTTCATAGAATATGTAGGAACCAATATGAGCATCCAGGTTCCGCTGTTGGTTATTGACCGGAGATGTGTCTCGGTCATGTCTACATAGTTCTCGAACCCGTAGGGTCTGCATGCTTAATATTCGATGACAATTTGTATTATGAGATATGTGTTTTGGTGACCGAAGATTATTTGGAGTCCCGGATGAGATCACGGACATGACGAGGAGTCTCCAAATGGTCGAGAGGTAAAGATTGATATATTGGACGATGGTATTCGGACACTGGAATGGTTCGGGTATTTTTTTGAAGTACCGGGAGGTTATCGGAACCCCCCGGGGAAGTAATGGGCCTACATGGGCCTTAGTGGAGAGAGAGGGGAGCCCGCAAGGGTGGCGCCCCCCTCCCCCCCAAGGGAGTCCGAATTGGACAAGGGGGAGGGGGCGCGGCCCCCTTTCCTTCTCTCCCTCTCCCTCTCCTTCTCCTTCCCCTTTCCCTTCCGAAAGAAAGGAAAGGGGGGCGACTAGGATTGGGAGTCCTAGTCGGTTTCCCCCCTATGACGCGCCCCTTGGCCGGCCTCCTCCCTCTCCTCCTTTATATACGGGGGCAGGGGGCATCCCAAAGTACAACAGTTGTTCCTTAGCCGTGTGTGATGCCCCCCTCCACAGTTTACTTCTTCGGTCATAGCGTCGTAGTGCTTAGGCGAAGCCGTGCGCGGATCACATCACCATCACCGTCACCACGCCGTCGTGCTGACGAAACTCTCCCTCAACCCTCTGCTGGATCAAGAGTTTGAGGGACGTCATCGAGCTGAACGTGTGCTGAACTCGGAGGTGACGTACGTTCGGTACTAGATCAATTGGATCGTGAAGACGTTCGACTACATCAACTGCGTTAACCTAACGCTTCTACTTTCGGTCTATGAGGGTACGTGGACACACTCTCCCCCTCTCGTTGCTATGCATCTCCTAGATAGATCTTGCGTGATCGTAGGAATTTATTTTTAAATTACATGCTACGTTACCCAACAGGATTCCCAGCTAAGGGGCCTCTTACCATGACAGTTCTCGCCCTGGTGGACCGATCTGAGGACCCCTTGTCGGTTCCATCATGGGCCACTTCAGACGACCCATGGAATGTTAAAAAAGATTCCAGGAGACTTTGATGGGCAAGAAAAGATGTTGGGGTCATGGAGGATTCTACCTCCTTGTACGTAGATGACTAGCATCCATGTAACGTAGGACCCCCCCCCCCCCCGGGGTACGCTATATAAGCCGAGGGGCCAGGTTCGTAGATAGACACATTGAAATCTCTCGGTACTTTTTACTCTTCATACACCCCAACATAATAAAGCACAAGCGGGGTGCGGGGTTTTATCTCCTCTAGAAAGCCTGAACCTGATTAAAATCATGTGTTTTTGCTACCATCATGCCAAGTAGCCTAGTTTAGTATACTCTACCGAGAGATCTGCCGGATTTAGTTTCGACAATATGTTCAATGAGGGACCAAGGAATATCACGAAGGTGCATTTAGACTCAAAAAATTACCTTATATTTGCCTGTCGAGCGAACCGATACAGCTCCGCATTAAATGACAAAACACATCCGGACCGCGCAGTTCAAACGGTTGCGGGCAGTTTGAGGGTCGACGTTCGAGATGCCCTAACATAGCAGATATACTTGGTTCTACAGTAAGATGCATATGGCAAAAGGCAAGTGCACGAACAGGCCTCACTCACTCACTCACCTCACCAACCAGGCCACCTAAAGTCCATACCCACAGGAATGATTACCCGGCCGTCCTCCAGTCTTTGGCTCACCGCAACGTCCTTCATCATACTCTACAGTCCAGCCACGAAGCGCACATACACACAACTTTGCTTCCCTTGTACTCCCCTCCCCCACACGTCTCTCTCCGGCTACTACGAGCCCCATTACCACATCCGGGGCCCTACCCACTCTAATGAAGACAGCCACCATTAACCATCTTTCCACGCATAACCACTTCCTCACTACTCCTAGCATGCCAACGAAAAGGAGAAAAATTCCATCACCACCACTCACATCCGGGGCGCCTTCGAAATCCAAGGTGTCCACTCGATTCCAACCGCAGCGCTGCCGCAGATCTGTCGGTTTCTATAACCCCTCTAACCTCTGCTGCCGCGCCTCTCTGTGGCCACTGACAGTCAGTGTTAGCCAGGGACACACGCTGACACAGACGATAGAAGAGTTTGTTCTGCTCATGAGGACGGTCCCGACCACGATTCTCCTCCTGCTGCTGCTCCTCGCGTTGCCGCCGGCGCCGGCCGTGGCGCTCACCGACGACGGCCTCGCGCTGCTGGCCTTCAAGGCGGCCGTGACCGACGACCCGGCCTCGGCCCTCGCCAAGTGGTCCGAGTCGGACGCCGACCCGTGCCGCTGGCCCGGCGTCACCTGCGCCAACATCTCCTCGCAGCCGCGCGTGGTCGGCCTGGCCGTCGCCGGCAAGAACGTGGCCGGCTACATCCCCTCCGAGCTCGGCTCGCTGCTCTTCCTCCGCCGGCTCAACCTCCACGACAACCGCCTCACGGGCGGCATCCCGGCCGCGCTCTCCAACGCCTCCTCGCTCCACTCCATCTTCCTCTACAACAACGCGCTCACCGGCAAGCTCCCCATGGCGCTCTGCGACCTCCCGAGGCTGCAGAACCTCGATGTTTCCCGGAACTCGCTCTCCGGCGAGCTGCCGCTCGACCTCCGGAACTGCCGGAGCTTGCAGCGTCTTATCGTCTCCAGAAACACCTTCTCTGGCGAGGTGCCCGCCGGTGTTTGGCCGGAGTTGTCCAGCCTGCAGCAGCTCGACCTCTCCTCCAACGCCTTCAACGGCTCCATCCCGCCGGACCTCGGCCAGCTCCCCAAGCTCTCCGGCACACTCAACCTCTCGCACAACCAGTTCTCCGGCATCGTGCCGCCGGAGCTCGGCCGCCTCCCGGCGACCGTCACTCTCGACCTCCGCTTCAACAACCTCTCCGGCGCCATCCCGCAGACGGGCTCCCTCGCCAGCCAGGGCCCCACCGCGTTCCTCAACAACCCCGCTCTCTGCGGCTTCCCGCTCCAAGTTGCCTGCCGAGCCGTCCCACCGCCGACGCAATCGCCGCCGCCACAGAACACCAGTTCATCAACAGCCTCCGCCTCTAACGACAGCCAGCACCAGCCAATTAAATCAAGCCTGATAGCGCTCATCTCCGTCGCCGACGCCGCCGGCGTCGCCCTCGTCGGCATCATCCTGGTGTACATATACTGGAAAGTCAAGGACCGGAGGGAAGGCCGCGGCGGCCGTGGCCGCGCAATCGCCGAAGACGACGACGACGATGATCGGAACAAGGGGCTGTGCGGCTGCATTTGGGGCCGCCGCGACAGAGGTTGGGTTGACGGCTCGTCGGACGACGAGGAAGAAGGAGACGGCAAGTGCAGCGGCGCCGACGGGGAGCTTGTGGCGATCGACCGGGGATTCCGGATGGAGCTGGACGAGCTGCTCCGGTCGTCCGCGTATGTGCTGGGGAAGGGAGGGAAGGGGATCGTGTACAAGGTGGTGGTGGGCAATGGCTCGACGCCGGTGGCCGTCCGGCGGCTGGGCGGCGGCGGTGGTGGCGCAGAGAGGTGCAAGGAGTTCAGGGCGGAGGCGCGGGCGATGGGGCGGGTGCGGCACCCCAACGTGGTGCGGCTGCGCGCTTACTACTGGTCACCGGACGAGAAGCTCGTCGTCACCGACTTCGTCGGCAACGGTAACCTCGCCACCGCGCTGCGTGGTAAGTAAAAGTAACACCGGTCAACTTTTCTTTTTTATAACAACACCGGTCAACTCGCTTACTGCTCTTTCGCTTTGAACAAAACTTGCTGCTCCTGGTAATATAACTTGAAGCCAAACTCACTAGGATAGTAAATCATCTTAATAGAGTGTGGGTTAGCTTTTATTTTACTTTTATGTTGCTTGATTACGTATTAAATGCACGACAACAGCATTGAAATTTGGTATATTCCCCTGTAAAAATATAAGATATATTGGATCATAATAATAGTACAACCAATGATGACATGTGGCAAGAATTTCAGTGCACGGGAAGGGTCATAACTTTTGCCAAACAAAAAACATACTACCTCTCTTTCAGTTTACAGGGCGTGCGCGTACCCCTAGGTTGTCAATTTGACCAACCTAATACAAGTCATATATTACAAAAAATATACCAATATAAACTTTAGATGTTCTATTTTCAAATAATATAATTTTTGTGTCATATAGTTTATATTAGAGTGATAAAATTGGCAACCTAGGTATATGCGTAGGACTTATAAACCGAAACAGGTAGTAGAATTAGGGTATGGTTCCTCCTTATTTTAATCCATGACACACCATCAAATAAATTTCTACGTCTCCCACCCACCCATCCCCCACTCCTTGCCCTCCTCTTCTGCTTTCCATCCTCGTCGTCGTCGGGCAAAGCTCATGCGGTACCAGCTCGCAGGGCATCTCCCTTCGCATGCAACTAACGATGTCTGCGCGTGGAAGGTCAAGCCAGTGTTTGCACATGGTCCACCAGCACCCCGGACGTGGATTTGGCATGTGGCTGGAGCATGGATCAAGCTTAATCGTGTTGCACCTCGGCGTGCGGCCCCTCTCAGACGTCTCTAGAGACGCTCGCATGGCGTGGTGGTTGGGACATGCAGATCCGACATACCCCAATGTGTTGAACGATGGGGTGGCGGACGCAGGCTGGTGCAGCTCGCGACCGCGAGGCATGCCGAATCATGCAGGTCATGTGCGGTGCATCGGACGTCGGACCGGTCTCGTAGGGAGGTTGGGCAAGGCGGCATGATCCTCCCCCTCACCGTTGCCCAAGGGCCCTACCGAGGCCAACGTTGGCTCCATCGTGGGCCGGAACGACCATTGATGACATCTAGGTGGTGCATCTTGGTGCGGCGACTGTTAGGCGCAAACGGCAGCCATCGGCGAGATGGCGGTGCGGCAATGATCGGAAGCGGCGCGGTGTTGTCTTCCCTTCCGGTGATGTATCCTTTGTCCCGCCTAATTCTGTGTGAGCATGACCTAGAATGGTGGACAATGACTGGTGAGAGACATAGCTCCTAGGTGACAACCCATGATCTAACCTTTCTGGCATGATAAGGCTGCTTCGAAGATATTGGTTTGACGGTTATAGGCCAGGGTCTAACTTAGTCTGGCGAACCAACTGACTTTGACATGTGAGCGGCTAGTCTTTTTTGAAGGCGTTGTCTTGGAGGCTTTGCGCCCTTTTGTCCGATAACACGTCACCTTTAGGTTTAGCGGTAGGATTTGAAGATGCCACCACGAGGCATGTTCTATCTATAGGATCGAACCACCTGCCGTGCCGACGTGCCGTGCGACGGAGGCATCATCCCATCAACAGTTTCCTAACGGACGACGGACCGGTCAGGCGATTCGATCCACCGCAGGACAAGCGGCGAGAGCGAAAGCTTCCAAACACGGCACCGACCTGTGTCCCCGGACGGAGATGGACCACACTCACTCTGCCACCCATGCCGGGCATCTGCTGTCGACCGGACGGATGGATGGTTCCAGTGACATGCAAAGAAAGAAAAAACATTTCTGCCTCGTGTCTTCGCTCGTGCTCTCCAGTAACAGCAGCGAGCCGTCGCTGTCTGCTTGAAAACCAGGGGAGTTGCTAGCGTAACTTAAGAGCTTTTTTGTTGTTGCGTGACTTAAGAGCCAAGAGTCGCGCCATAAGCTGGGCCCGGCCGCTAACTGAATATGCTGCACCAAAAACTACGTGTTGTTTATGGCGTACACGCACGCTTTACAGTCCAATGCCTCATGGGATCATGTCATTTTTAAGGTATCCTCCATACCAGCACTTGCACAATACTGACAAACCAAGAGGGAAAGGGCAAAGGAATGCCTTTCCAGCATCCTGATTCCTTCGTGCAGACTGCAGAGCCTGGAAGGGGGGGAAAGGGGACCTTTTTAGGCCTGGAACCTTTGTCACTGTCACGGCCTAACAGAATGATCTTCCGGGGCTAAACATGACCCGAAAAGGCCTTCCACGCGAGCAGAAAGCAGAGCGCGGAGAGGTGATGATAATTGAGACCGCGGAGGCACGCCTCGGCGACGCGCATGCATGAGCATGATCAACGAGCGCTTTTGATTACTGGGTGATCCGTGATGAGTGTAGTGCTGACTGCTGAGGCTGCTGTTGATGCTGCCTTTCTATGTGGCTTTCGGGCCTTGATAGGGCAAAGCTTGACAACTTTGTCAGGACGCCATAAAAGTGGTGTGTGCGGGCAGCAATGCTTGGTTTGCGTGTTGTGAGAAGCCATGTGCTTGCGGCAACAATTACTAGTACCACTGTCAAGTGAATGACAAATCAGGCACAACGTGGCAATTAATGCTCGCTGCACAAACCCCTTCCTCTTCCTCATATGCAGTCAGTGTCCATGAACAGTGGCATGTCATGGCTGCTTGTGTCCGTGCAAAGCGCCAAAGTTTTTATTTCTGGCGATGTGGACGTTAATTCTGTCTGTAGCATTTTTGTTTCTTATTCAGAATAAATGCCCATCAATTACTATGGTTAGTAATACACCCATGTCGACGTTGCAGGTCGCAGCGGCGAGCCTGTGCTGTCGTGGGCGGCGCGGCTGAAGATCGCCAAGGGCGCGGCGCGCGGCCTGGCGTACCTCCACGAGTGCAGCAGCACCCGGCGGTTCGTCCACGGCGAGGTCAAGCCGTCCAACATCCTCCTGGACGCCGACTTCACCCCGCGCGTCGCCGACTTCGGCCTCGTCCGCCTGCTCGCCATCGCCGGCTGCGGCCCCGACGCCGCGCCGCCGTCCTCCGGCGGCAGCCTCCTCGGCGGCGCCATCCCCTACACGAAGCCGGCGCCGGCGCAGGCGCACGCGAGCGGCTACCGGGCGCCCGAGGCGCGCGCGCCGGGCGCGCGGCCGGCGCAGAAGTGGGACGTGTTCTCCTTCGGGGTGATCCTGCTGGAGCTGCTGACGGGGCGGGGGCCGGCGGACCACGCGTCGCCGTCGACGTCCGCGTCCTTCTCGGGGCCGTCCACGACGACGACGGACCGGTCCGGGAGCGCGGAGCACGAGGCGGTGCCGGAGGCGGTGCGGTGGGTGCGGCGCGGGTTCGAGGACGCGCGGCCGGTGGCGGAGATGGTGGACCCGGCGCTGCTGCGGGAGGCGCCGGCGCTGCCCAAGAAGGAGATCATCGCCGCGTTCCACGTCGCGCTGGCGTGCACCGAGGCCGACCCGGAGCTCCGGCCCAAGATGAAGACCGTCGCCGACGGCCTCGACAAGATCGGGTCGTGAGAACGGATGCGTCACGTACGGGTACGGCCGTTGGCTTACGCTGCCACGTTATGTGTTCGTGACAAAGCTCGTCGGAGAAGTCTTCTTTTCTTGAGCTTCCTCTCTCGCTCTTGAGCTCTTCATATTCTTTTTTATTTATTTTGTAATTGGGGTTTCTTGGTTATTCGTTCCGACAAAACTGACGATTTGTGATCATACAACAGCATATAGAAGTGTACTTTCCGCGTCCATTCCTTAAAAACTGGGTTTGCAACTTTGCATGCATAAGAAAAGAGCATCTCCAACGGCCGCGCAACACGTGACGCGTTAAAAAACAGTTTACATCGCTGGAATTGTCAGTTTTTACGCGTCGCGGTGCACTGGCTCCAGCGGCCGCTGCAAAATATAGCGTGCCCAAGCCGCTCCAGCAGACGCGCTAAACTGCAAGGCGCGAGCAGCCGACGTTTGTCATATGTTGCATTTTGAAGACAATATGATGATATTTCAAACATCAAAACAAGAGATAGCATAGTTTAAAATCACCCAAACAAGTTTCATGACATAAATAAAAGTTCAAAATCATGCCACATCACATTATCATCCAACCAAGTTCAAAATCATGCAACGAAGTTCATGACATAAAAGTTCATACAAACAAATGGCACATCAACAATCATGCTTCATCCTCGTCTTCGTCCTCCTTTTCCTCTGATTCTTCATCCTCCAAAAATGATTCTTCCTCCTCCTCATTATTGTGTCGCGCCGCATTATCATGGGAAGCTCGAAAGGCGTTGGCAAGATCTCCAACGGCATCATGCGAAGGTATGTGAGGCACACTGGAAGACATGCGTCCACCCATGTCATCCGGAGATACTCCCACGCCTCCCATGAAAGATGCAAAACTCATGTCTCCCATGATAGCTCCAAAGCCACCCATGGCCTCCATTGGTAGCTCCGAAGCTACCCATGCCGCCCATGGTAGCTCCATCGTCCGTCCATCGGGCGAATTCGCCGGCGGCGGGGCGAAAGCGGCGTGGCGGAGAGGGTGCGGCGCGGGCGCTCGAGTGTGCAGCGCGCGGAAGCGGGCGCATGAAATAAGCGGCCCGCGCGTTGAACTGCTTATGCCGCGTGCGTGGTTTTTGCGCCTCCGCTGGAGCTCCCGAAACGATTGCGCGCGCAAAAAAAAACCCAAATTCCAGCGCGGCTATTGGAGATGCTCTAACATGATGTATCGTAGTTTAGTTGAATGTCAATCACCTGGTCAGTCGAATTTGCATGATGGAAGCAGCGGCCGCCGGAGAGAAGGAAGGAGCATTCGGCTCGCCGAAGAAGCAGCACCATCTGGGTCTATCTTTGGAAGACAGACTCGCCGGGTGTCTATCTTAGGGTGGCATGCTTGCCGGGTATCTATGATAGGGGCGCGGGGATATAGATTTGACGGAAAAATATGGAGGTTCGTCGGGGTTAGAGGGATGGCGGTGTGCGGTGAGGCAAGCAGGGAGCGGCGCCGGTCGCGGGCGGCAATAGCATGCGGTTGGACTGGTGGTACGTGAGACGGTTTGGGAAAAAAGATGAACATGAGGATGGGAAGGAGGTTGAAGAAAGCGACATGGTCATTCATTCACATGTGACGACTTAAAACAGATCGATTGACAAAAAAATAATCGACTGACATCTAGCCAGTCTCATACATTGATTGCATTAGGGCGAGCAAGGACGGCCGCCTGGAGTTTCTTTTTTAAAGTAACCACATATATTTCATTAAAAAGCCGGGTTACACAAAGTACACACAATGTCACTATAAGAGACATACATATATGTCTTGCAATATTGCATTAAAGACTACACAAAAAGTAAAACTAGAATTTTACTCTGGCGGAATCTTGTGTCACGCTGAAAGGTCGTCCACCATCGTCTTTCACAGTCGCCGAGGCAACACTGAAAAAAAAAGGATTTGCCATCATACCCATATCTAGAGGAGCATCTTCGGGTATAAGGATGCTTTTCGGGCCGACGAACGGAATCGCTGTAAGCGACGCGATCGAGGCTTTTTAGCACGTCAGCTGGGATACTTTCTCATGTCTGTTACATCTCAGCACCGTCAACTTCATCCGACGCGGTCAAAGAAGAGGAACATCGTTGTTTGCCGCCATCCACACACCCTATTGCAAAAGACCAAACACAACTGTAATAGGCGATGCTAACGCCACCCGAGAAAGCGTTGTGCGTCGACCATCAGACAAATCTCACGGATCTGAAGACCATTAGAACGCTACCGAGATGGAGAAAGAGCATAAGCAGATTATTCCAACGTGGCGCCGTCTCCATCATTGATGCAGCAAC